ATTAATTCCAACACAAGTCACATTAACTCTAGTTCATTTGCATTTTCGACATGTACATGCTCACATTTCGAGAAATTAAAACGAGCACGTTGACTTCCAAATTTAAGGCCACTCAATAGTTCAATCTTTAGAAAAAAGGTTGAAACATGCATATCAACTACACAAGCATGATAGCTTGTGCAATGACCTAATTAAGGTTAAGGGTTAAATCCCATATCGACTAATTATCGAAATAAAGATCAACATATAAGGATTTTGATATACTACTCATCTTAATAAGGTTGACATTTTAAAATATAACCGTATTTTAATATGGTATTAGAGCTCATTAAACTCAAACGGACAACTGAATCCGATTAAGACTAAAAAATGAGCACATTAATTTCAAAATGGATCTTTATTTCGATAATTAGCCTGAAATTTATCCCTTGACAACTAAATCTTGAGTTAACCACTTATTTATGATGTTTTACTTGATAGGTGTTTCCACTATTTGCAGCAGTTGGTGCAGTTGTGGGCTTATGCAGCATGTAGCTTGTAAGGAATATTTGTACTAATCCCGAAGTTAGGTACATTCACTTCTCTCATTACAACGAAAATTAATATGCTTTGACATGGGTTATTAAGGATCTAATTGATTTGAATCTTAGACCAAATAATGAATCCATCTGAATTACGAAATATGATTCTTGTAGCCGACCCCAATGCTAGTTGTTATTCTTGTTTTTTTCATTCTACATCATCCATGAAACGGTATGATACACCAAAGTGGATGTGAAAAGCATTCTTCTCCGAACCTTAGAATCAGTCGACAAAGGTAACAAGGATCTATGTTTTCAAACACCAATTAATGGGTATGGATCCTCTCCAGCTCTTGATGAAAGGGTTAAAATGATCATACATAAAACTGAGTTTCTATGCTGGTAGGCCAAAATTCTAAGATATCAAGGCAATGGTTGCCAAAAGAGCAAATATTTGAAGAAAATCACAAGATTTGCTGATGTAATTTCAGGGTCACGAAAGAGAACAGATGCCTTTTTCAAAGATTTGCTCTCGATGGATTTTCTAATATAAAATAGCGTGTTTCTTAACTTATGTACTTATTCTCTAAAAAATTGAAAATGCAAAGTCTTTTTCAGGAGCATATGTAGCCTAATTTCTTCTAAAATTATTATTTTATGCATTTAACAATATTATTGTTTAATACACAAGTTTGGTTAATGATTAGAGAGTTTTATTATTTAAGTAATATTATTAATTTATCGAAAACATTCATTTATGGATGTTTTATGTTATATTCTGACGTTTGACAATCAATAAAATGCGTTTTTCAGGAAAAATGAATTCTAAATAGTCATTTTTTGAGAATGTATTATTAAAAAATATGTTTTTTTTTATTTACATGCATAATATTTTATTGTGAAAATATATTAATAAAAATAAAAGAATTTAATTTCAGAACGATGTGCATATCCAAGTTAATTTAATGAATGCTCACCATTCTTTAGTCTATATTACTACTTGCTCACTGAACAATAAAAGATTACCCGTTGCTCACCCATCTATCTAATATATTTCCCATTCATCACCCGTTTGAATTCCATCAAATACAACTAACGGAATGTCCA